GCTGTTATTCATTTGCTGCTTTCTTTTGGTAGTAAGAATTAGAATGTGGACCCAAAACATATTTTAATAAATGATTAGGCCACATACAATGTGTTTTGGTCTTTTCTTATAAATTCAATTTCATTGTTTTCACCCATGTGCTCCAATATTTTCATGGATTTCTGCCCAGTAAAGTTGAATAGACATACATAGCAAAAATCAGATACTATAGAGAAAAGCCAAATTAGTAATTGCCAGCATAACTTATCTTCTACATAGGCTTGATAAAATCTATCTAAATGTTCAGCACATTGAAGAGAGCTCATAGAGATCTGCAAAGCTGAGATTCTACATTAGAATCTAAGAACTCTTAATGAGACCTAAGCAAATTACCTATTTGCCTCTCATATTTATTTTTGTCTTTCCATTAAAAAGAATATTTTTAGTAGATGTAGAAAGTTGTTTTAATGCTAAGGCAGTAGAATGAGAGTTTAGCAGTTGCTTCCAGAAAACTGATGCCAACAATGTAATTATTTTACATGTGAGGTCAGGAAAAATATTACTAGTGATAAGGGACTCAAACATACTATAAAAATAACTAAAAACTTCAACTCATCTAGAGTATAGTCTGGAAGTAATACAGATTAGGTGAACTCTTCTAATCAATGCACACTGACCACAGATAAACTAAATAATAGCCCACAGACTGGCAGACCCTAATGATCTACCAGTGAACACATATTGAGTGTTGGCCATGTATACAAAAACTTATGTGAGCACCAATACGGTTCACATTGTCACTTGTGTAAAGTTATGTGTGTGTATGTATATGAGCTAGATACCATTCCCTTCCCTGTCTTGTAGCCTGAGGATCAGAGAGGTTGGTTGAATTATTCAAGGAGATTCTGCAACAGGGTAGAGTCAGAATTTGAAATCAATCTTGTCTGGTTCCAATGGAAAAAGGATAGAATCCATTTCAGTTGCATGCTATACCAATGAAAGTAATGCCTGTTAGGTTGTGACTTATTATTTCATGTTTGCTACAATGGGAGTTCATGTTTGTACCTCAATCCATTAAACCAGAGCTTTAAATTAGAAAGTCCAGAACTATTTGTGGAATGAATGAGAGTATGGCATGATCAGTACCTTAAAGTAGGCCGAATGATGTTTCATTACATTAACACAGTAGCAGGGAGGGGAGAGGAGGCTAATACCTATAATCTCAGCTACTCAGAAGATGGAAGTCAGGAGGATTGCAGTTCAAAGCCAACCCAGGCCAAAATGTAAGGCCCTAACTGAAAAATAACTATAACATAAAGGGCTTCTGGTATGACTCAAATGGTAGAGGGCTTCCCTAGAAAGCATACTGCAAGAGAAGGAGGTAACATGCTGGAGAAGAAATACACTCATTACCTTACTCATGTAACTGTAACCCCTCTGTACAGCATCTTTACAATAAAATAAAATTTTAAAAAGAAAGCATACTGCTGTACAGCAAAAATAATAATTATTGATTTCATATTAAAATTATAATAATAGACACACATGTATACTAAACATGTAAGTATGTTACAAGCTTCAAACAAATGAGCAACAAATCTTCATTGTACCAAACAATGTCATTTGAGAAAAACATCAAATACCTGTCAAAGAAATACCTATAGAACAAGGCATAAAGCACTGATCTTGAATAAACATACTTTTTTTGAAACACTGGCTAATATAAGAATCAAGGTGATTTAAATGAACACAGTACCAGCCAAATTTTTTGTTATTGTTGTTGTTGTTTTCATTTCATAGACTAGGCTTTATTAAGTCAATGATTTTTCTCTTAGGGCCTCCAAGTATACAAACTCATTTAACTTTGCATTATTATCAACAAGCTGTTCATTAGTATTTATAAAATATACTGGAATTTCTGGGTGCTGGTGGCACAAGCCTGTAATCCTAGCTAATCAGGAGGCTGAGTTCTGACGATCATGACAGCTGAAAGCTAGCCTGTGTGGGAAAATCCATGAGACTCTTATCTCCAATTAACCACCAGAAAACCAGAAGTGGAGCTGTGGTTCAGAGTAGAAAACAACTAGCCCTGAGAGAAAAGAGCTCAGGGATAGCACCTAGGCTCTAGTTCAAGCTCCACAACTGGCAAAAAAAAAAAAAAAAAAAGGAGGTGGAATGCTGGATATATGGTCTTAGTAATTTATATTATCAGAAGTGCTTAAATACTACTACTTTGATCAATTCCATTATTCATGGGCTTTGATCCTATAATTTTGGTTACTATAATTTAATGCCTGGGTATGACTTTAGGAAACATACCTTGGGACTGCTCAAATAAAAATGATGAATTCAGATAAGTTTAATTACTTATAAGATGTAATTCCTTTAAATCTTGGTAGACAGCAAAAAACAAAATTGCTGTCAGTAACTACTGAGTGAATGTAAATACTTAGGTATCATTTATCAAAAATGTGCTAATCTCTTCTGTGCAGGCTAATTTATTGACAAGTCTGACTAAGGTGGCACATTCTTTGTCATCATCCTAGAGGCAAATAGGCAATACTAATTTCCATCCAATCTTTATAATGAGGAGCAAAAGTACTCCTCATTAAATAATACCTACATAAGAACCACATTTGTAGTTGGTAATTCTAAAATATCCATTTTATGTAATCTTTTCTGTTGCTTCCTCCTAGTCCATGCAATTATTTTGATGACTTCTATAACTATGAAATATTTATTTACAAATATTTGATAAGCTTTCCCTACATATAGAATCAATTAATCTTTCCTAGTGATTCCTAAGTTAATTTTCATTATATCAACATACATAAAGATTGGAGAACATAGGTCATATTTTCATAGTTTGCATACTGTGTGCATACATTTTAGAGTACATTTCTTGATTTAGAATAATTTTGCTGCATTTAAATTAGATTCCTCCATTTTACATTCAAATGCATGGTATATTACTATGCATGCTCTAATTATAATTATTTGTGAAATGGTGCAATAAATGTTAGCTAAATGAATTAAATACCTAATATGCCAAAAGACATCAATACATACCTATCTATAGATAAAACTGCTGTTCTTGAAAAAAAATTCCTTGCCCCTTAGTAAATCTGTTACTTGTAACTTCCACTGTCTCTTTTCATCCTTTCATACAATTTTTCCTTCCTATTACCACCTTCTTAAACTGCCACTGGTTTAAAGTCCTTTCAAGAGAATCAGGTATGAGTAACTTCTTTTTCCTTTACTTTTTATTCTTTTTCAGCTACATCTTCCTTGTCATCATCTCTCTTTTCTTGTGCTTCTGGCTTGCTACCTCTTTACTCCAGAACAGGATTCTGACAATCAGTTGAGATCTCCTTCCTCATCATGCCAGAAACTCCCCTCTCTCATTTCCAGGGCATTTCTCAGTCTGTCTCCATTCAACATTTCCCAGGACTTTCCAAGTAAAACTGTCCTCTAACAGTGACAACAACAGAAATTTTGCTCTGAACATTTATCCATAAGACACTGGCAGTTTGCCAAAAGACATCATTATATAGTTGCTAAATACACTAGGGTATAAATAATAACAGTCGGTATTCTCATCAATTACCTCAGTTAGCCCTCGCAAATAACAAAGCATGTATTGATATAATTCCAGTTTATATATGAAGAAATCCAGGTAAGATAAAATAAAATACCTACCAGACATCCTGTGTAACCAGGACTTGAAGTTTGGGCCTATCCTTTTAATAGTTTCAATGTATTTCCCAATGGGCTATTAACAATCTACACAAAGCCTATTGCCTTTCCTGCTGACATATATACTGCTGAAATTGTTCCCTTGTACTTGTATGTTTTCAGTCAAATAGCATCCATCATTCAAAATCTACCTTGACCATTATGTCCGGGGACTACTTCACTTTCTTCATGAAACCTTAGGTTTGTTTCATACATTTTATTGGCTTCCTCTTTCATAGTTCTACATAGCAGATCATCTGTATCATATCTATTAAACAATTTATTCTTTGCTGGATCAGATTTAGTCTCTCCAACAAAACTGAAAACTTCTCAAAGGTAGGGGTTATTTCTTGAGCTTCTTCCAGATTCTTCCATGAGACTAAATGGCTTTCTTTCATAACCACCACCAACAAGTATATTCTAGGCCCTGAGATATACACTGTATTTATCCATTCCACTTAATCGTCACTGAAACTGTAGTATAGTAGGTAAATGGCTTTGTCCTATAGTATAGCTAAGGTAATTTATACATGAGGAGATAAAAGAGGAGAAGAAGGTCCAAACTAAATGGAACAGTTAATACTGATGTTCACAGTTGTTGCTGTTGTTCAGATTTTGAGACTCAGCCTCAGCGCCCAAGCTGGCCTAGAACTCATCATCCTCCTGCCTATCTCTGCTAAATACTGAGATTACAGGAATGTGACATATTGCCTGACTCTTCCTTTCTCATTTTGACACCAAACCAAACAAAAAACCTACCTATAATATACAGTCATTCCTGCTAACTAAGAAAACAACTTACTCTGTACTAATGTGGCTGTAGCAACACTTTGTACTTAGGTTCACAACTGAACAAGATGTGCTATTGTTTTGTTCACCTCGTAATACATCTGTCAGTGCCTATAATGACTTCCAGTGCTCAATCCCCCAAGGAAGACCGTACTGCACTGTCAACAGATATGTGCCAACAAAGTGAAATTAGGGTTTGTGCCTTGTCTCCCATAGTGGTTTTTCACTTCATCTAATTCTCTTCAATCTCACCAGTGTTTCGTGAAGAGCGAAATGTGATGGTAAAATATATAAAAGGATTATTTTAATGACATAACAATTTGACTGGACCATCAAAAACCCTTTGTATAGAGTGATAAAAATATAAAAAGAATTATGAGAGAAATTTAAAGATAATTATGAATTGTCTATAAACAATACAAGTATTATATGATCCCAAATAAATGAGATTATTTTGCCTTTTCTGTTTCTTAAAAAAATCATAAATACTTTCATACCTTTGTTCATATCGATAAGTTGTTTCTTTTTCTTCTGGCGCTCTACCTTTTCTTGTTCTGCTTTCTCTTTTGCAAGCTTGGCTCTCCTACTCTTCTCCTCCATTTCTTTTCTCTTATTGTTTTCTTTCATGGCTTCCTGCAGGTAATTAAAATTAAACAAAAACAAGCTCATTACTTATATAATGGAGAAGTTGTTCTGTTTTAAAACTAATTAAATATTCAGACATGGAGAATGATCAAAGTGGCCTCAAAGTGCATGTATACATTTTGGAAAGAGATTGATAATTAATCTTAAAACCTTTCCAGGAAAAGACACACTGTCTGCAATTATCGTTACTTCAACTATCAGAAAATTAGGGCCATTAATGTTACAGATTTAACAATAAAATTATTTTTTCCATTGTTGAATCTTGAAAGTTTTCATGTGTAAGAAAACACTTAAGACCGACTTAGTATTTTTTCTGTTATATGCACAATGGCAATTTACAAAAAAAAAATTACTTCATAGCCTATTTGTGAAGAGAAATGAGTTACTTATTTAAAGTGCTTAGAACAGAGTCTAATATATTCTAATCAAGTACTTTCAGTCTGAGATGATGGTTGTAGCATTGTGGTACTGGTGGTAATGATTACATCTAATGATGCAGGACACGAGACAATCAACAGTATCATCACAGAAAAGAAATAGCAGCAAGTTTTGTGACTTTTTCTGGGCCTAAGTTTTCAAAAATGCTAAAGCAGATTTCAAGCTATTGTCTGTTTTATTTGGGTAAGATTATTTGAAGAATTCTAGTAAATGAGTATATCTCAGTACACTGTTTTAAAAGAAAGTTGAAATGATCCTTTGGAATAATATGAGCTTCTCTTCAGTTAAGACAAGTCACTAATATAGACACAATCAAACATAAGTTCCTTCCATTATGTTGCTCTGTATTTTTTTTCCTTTATGATTATCAATTATGTAGTCTTCACCTTATATACAAACTATTTCCCTAAAACTACTTTGTTCCAGAAACTGTAGAAGAAAAGAAAATCATTAACAAGAATACACCCAAAAGTTTTTTCCTGAAGGGAATATATTCTTTTCATCATATAAAAAAACACAGTTTTGAAAATTGCCCTACAAACATTGCCAAAAATCCTCCTGACTTGCAAACTGTGAATATTTTTATATTCATTCATTGGCACCTCCTCTTTCTATTACGTCAACCATAGGCTAAGAACTCACAACTACCTGACTACTGTAGACAAGCTTAAAAGACCACCACTTAAAATTAAGTGGAACACTAGAGCCATAATTTTGGAGCAGTTTCTGAACCTCAGCACTATTGTCATCTTGGGTCAGATCATTCTTTATTATGGTTCTTTCCTATGCACTATCGGATGTTTGGCAGCATCTCTGACCTCTTCCCATTAGATACTAGTAGTATCTCTCCTAGTGTAACAACCAGCTAGTATTCTAGAGATTGTTAAATGTCACCTGGGGAGCAAAACTGCTTTAGATTAAGAACTACTAAATTTAACAGTTTCAGAGAGATAAATGATACTCAAAAATTACAAAGTACAAAGTACCCACACTGACGAATCACGTTTCCTTGTACAGAGTGAAAAATGAGTCTTAAATGAGTTTAAGTAATTTGTCTAATGAACAAAAAAGGAATGACACACTGGTACATAGTAAAACATGATGAAACCTTAAAACATACTAAGTGAAAGATGCCATATAGAAATGGTTAAATACAAGATGGTAACATTTATATGTAATGTCCAACTTAGATAAATCTATCTCTAAAAGTAGGTGAGGTGCTGTGAGTGGAAGGGGGAAGCATAAAGAATAATGCTAATAAACATTAGCACTGATGTCTGAAACTCCTGCTCTCAGGAGGCTGAGAGAGGAGCTGACACAAGTTTTTAGAGATATTTCTGGGCCATGTAGAAAAACTCTATCTTAAAAACAACAATACCAAAAAGGTAAATTTTATGATACATAAATTATAGGTCAATAAAAACAAACCTTCAAAAGGTAGATTTCAACTCAGGGATAAAATAGACAATGAAAAGGTATCCAATATTCAGGTAGTGATACTAAGAACCCCTAAGACTTTTAAAAAAAAATTTTAGATTATTTTATTTTGATTAGTTTTTAGATTATTTATTGTACATAGGGGTTTCAATTCAACAGCAGTTCATAATTTATAATGCGTCTTGACCAATGTCACCCTTTGCCTAAGATGAGAGGAAAAGAAGAGTGGAAGAATAAAGGGGGATTTTAGTCTATGAATGACATTGGTAGAATTTTTGATGCACTCAACAATAAACAAGATCTTGGTAGACTTTCCTACTATCAAATAAAAGATTTAGTAGCTTGTATTTATTTTTCTTCCAGTGACAGAACTTAACATATATTTGATCTTCTCAGTTTCCAGGCATGCAATTTCCTAAATCCTTGGAATATTGAAAGTGATATTCCTTTTGTATGCTAATGAGCTGTTAAGTGCTGGGTAGGCACTAAATGTACAGTTTTAAGACAAACAAAAACAGGATTAAAGAGTTGGAACTTTCAATTTCCACTCTCAATCTCCAGGGACAGGTAAAGAGCTGGTTGAGTCGATCATAAAATGCATTCATAAAACTCCAAAAGGACAGATTGCAAGCTCCTGGACATGTGGGGGCTTGCAGACCATAATCCTATGCAGGCAGGGAGATATCATCCAACTCTCTAGGGACGTTAACTCCTGTCTTTGAACCACTCAAAATCTCATCCTTCATCAAGCTGCTTATTTGTGTCTTTCAAAGTGTCATTTACAGCAAATCGGTGAACATATTTCCCAGAGTAATTTTAGCCATGCTAGAAAATTAATAGAACCTAATTAATATAACAGAACCTAACTAATCAAACCTAATTAGTAGAACAGTCCATCTACAAAGGTAAAAACCAAAGAAGTTGGGTCCAGCATCTGAACAAGGACAAGGCCATATTGGGGACTGAGTGCTCAATCTTGCAGATCTGATACTAATTCCACGTGGATAGTATCCTTCCAGGACACACAACTAGAGTCTCCTGCTCTAGAATCCCCTATAAGCAGGAAGAAATCATTATACCTGATGGGAATCTGCTTTGTTCTTATAACTCCCTGTTGCTCCCTCTCAGCCCAATCTTTTTATGTATCTAAAGTTGGAATGTGAAGGATTGACTCTTGCCTTATTTCCCCAGCTCAAGCACAACACCAGGCTCCCCCTCACCTGCTTGTCTGCAGGCAAGTTATTCTGACCTTGGCTTAGCTGAAAGCCCCCTTTCTCCCCAGGCAGAACATTCTACTCTAGGCTTGTCCAAGAACATTGCCTTTGGACCCCAAATGGGCTCATAGCTAATTTTTTTGTTCTGCTTCCTTGTTAAGCTCCATATAAACCCAGTTACAAATCTGGTTCCTGGCAAAACATTCATACCCATAGGAAGGTCTTGCACCTCTCTGGCAATAAAGAGTCCTAGCTTGTTGATGATGGAGTCCAGTCTACTCCTTTTCCATTCTCCTTCATTTTCCTAACAATACCTCTTTAGGTCACAAAAATCTTCAGTCTTGATTATTGTGGTGTGAGAGTAGGAAAAAAACAACAACAACCATATAGTTTTACTACACATGTCCTTGTATTGGTATCAATTTTTCTTCCATGATATTTTAAATACATACTATCTCATCTTTATTTAAGAAAAAGAGAGAAGACCCCCACAGTATAACCCCTGCTTTCACTGTATTTAATGTCGGTATAATTTGTGGAGGGGAAGGGGAAAAACAAGTCATTTAAATAAGGATACAGGTGGACCCGTTGCAACAATGAGAAGTACAAGTTGTCATGTTGAAAACGAACTTTACAACTTTGGTGGGGGAGGGGGGGAGGATTGAGTAGGGGGGTGGGGAAGGCTGGAAAGGGATGTGAAGGGTAAACAAAGAAGGAGGCTGCAATGCTTGATAAGAAATGTACATATTATCTTGCCCATGTAATTGTAACCCCTCTGTACAGTATGTTCACAATAAAAAATAAAATAAAAAGAAAAAAGAAAAAGAGAGAAGTAAGCTGCCAAGTAGACAATATTTAATTTTATTTTATAGATAATGAAATTCAGGTTAATGTAGGTTATGTGATATGCCCAAACCTACATCCTTAAGTACTAGAACAAACTAGAGTTGCTGCCATCGACATCAATGTTCACTTGCATTTCTATTATACCAGGTAAAGTATGTGATGCTCCATTAATTTTTTTTTGGTCAGTCGTGGGGACTGAACTCTGGACCTGGGCCCTATCCATTAAATTTGAATTTCAGATAAACTGTGAATAATTCAATTAGTATATGTATGCCCTATACAATATTTGGGGATATACATATTTTTAAAAATGATATAACTTACATATAATGATAATAATATTACTATTTATCTAACATTCAACATTAAATGGACATCTCAAATTGCTATTCCAATAATCTGGCAATCTTTAAGACTGTATTATTAATCTTCTCTAAGTATCTTGATAGAATAAGACATATAATAAAGACAGGAAACATGATTATCTAAAAATACAAGTCCCAATCTAATTCATGTTTTCTCTCTCTTTCCTTTTTTATTTTTGTCGGTCGTGGGGGGTGAACTCTGGGCTTGATCACTGTCCCTCAGCTCTTCAGCTCAAGGTTAGTGCCCTACCACTTGAGCCATACACCACTTCCGGCTTTTTTCTGCTTATGTGGTGCTAAGGAATTGAACACAGGGCCTCATGCATGCAAGGCAAGCCCTCTACCACTGAGCCAACTTCCCAGCCCCTCTAATTCATGTTTTAAGAATGGAATTGTTGATATCAGTTATTGGTAGGTATTATGCTGTCTATGGACTTGAGCCATAATATTTTTAATAAAAATTTTTAAATCAAATTTATATAAAATCAAAACTGATACCATTGGAGCTAGAAGAAAATAAGAAAGGATCGCTAATGGAGAAATTTGGCAAGTTTAAATAGAATAAATTTCTGCTTGAAAAGGAAGCTTCCATGGAGCACTGCTGAAACAACATAAATGAGGACCTAACACAGAATGAAAGAGACCAAATAATAGGTTCAGCAGTTTCTACCTTTAGTGATCAGGAATA